CTGTAGGAGCTGAGTCTATTTGTACTTTATTGCACCAATCAAAGTCGAAACCACTGTATCAGAGAATGAGACAAAGGAAAATGTGTGTGGTGGGGAGTGTGGGCAGGAGGGGGAACCGAGTGGGAAGGAGTTGATGAGCTTTGAGGATACAAAGAGATGGAATAATTTGGAGAGAGCCTCCAAGACACAAATATACCATATTGAATTAATTCATTGCTTCTACCAATTTACACTGAACATCTATTACGTCTCAGGCACTGGGGATTCAGTGGGCCCATAGTAGGTCTTTAATAGGTTAAAGCATGCTTGGGTTTTACAGAATCTGTAAATGCCCTGAAACTACATGCCAAAATATCATGTTTTGGGGTGCACGAGGGAAGAAACAGATTGGTACTGTTAGGTCTGCCCAGAAGAATCCACCCCTTTGTGAACGACAGCATGTAGACTCACCAAAAATCACCTTCCTGAAACCAGTCAATCACCTGTCTGTAAGTCAGTAAAGATGCTGAGATCACTTCCTCATCCACTGAGGTCACTTCCTGAACAGCCCTGGTCACACCTCCTTCGGACAGTGAGAGGTTCCCGGGCTCTTAAGATCACTTCCGCATCCCCAGTGGTCACACCTCCCCACTTCTCCCAGTATAATCCCTCTCAACCACAAGTTCCCACCCTCTTTTTTTCTTCTCTTCTTTCTCTGCACACCTCCATCTCATTCAGGCTGGGATTTGTTCTCCCCCCAATAAACTTTTCTGCCTGAACCATATGGTAGTCTCTTTTTGGCAAACCTTACGGGTACGTTCCTTTCTCTCCACCTCCTCTCCCCCTTGGCAACTCCAGGATTGGTAATTACACAATGGGAACCACATTTTCTAATACTTCAAGGACTTCCAAAAGATCAATACACACAATAATAGAATTTGCTTTCTCTAGTCTTTTTCTGAGAAAGAATGAGTCAACCAAACCCATAACCAAAGGTGATGAATTGGAATTTTTTTTTTAACCAGTACTTGGTAAATACAGTTAAAGAATTGAGTCCTGGGTTTTCTCCCTTAGATCTTTTTTTTTGTTGTTCAAGTCTAGTGCTCTACCACTTGAGTCACAGCTCCATTTCTGAATATTTTTCTTTTCTTCTACCTTTGTGAAGTTGAAAATATATTTTAAAAAAAACCCTATAAAGCACCTGACATCCAAAAAGTGATTTTTTAAAAAAAAGGCCACCCAAAAGAGAGAATTAAAGGACACAGTTAATTGACAAGCTTTTAGCCATAGGGTCATGCCATTAGAGAGAAGCAGATGAATAGATCCATTACGAACCCTTGTTTGATTCTGTATAAAGAATCTTCTAGTGGATAAGGCATGGGCACCTTCTCCTGGTGTTTATGAGGTACTAAGCACCATTTCAGAGGCTTTACATGCAAGGTGTTGTTAAAAGCTCATGGTTATTTTATGAAGCCTGGTCTTGTTACTAGTTGTGTTTTACAAATAAGGAATGTGGGAGGCTTAGGGAAGGATAGCTTAGCTAAAGCTCCATAGCCGGGCTGGGAAGGTGGCTCAGTGGTAGAGTGCTTGCTTTGCATGCATATGGCTCTGGGTTCAATTCCTCAGCACCACATAAGCAGAAAAAAAACAGAAGTGGCGCTGTGGCTCAAGTGGTAGAGCGCTAGCCTTGAGCTGAAAAGCTGAGGGACAGTGCCCAGGCCTAGAGTTCAGGCCCCACAACCGGAGCAGGAGGTGGGGGGAGCTCCATAGCCACAAGTTTTCTGTAATCTCCACTCCCTTCCCTTAAAAAAACCTATAAATAGCAGGCTATAAAGGTGAGGTCTGCCAGGAAACAAAAGCCATTGGATAAAACAAAGTTAACACCACAGCTTTCTTCCTCAAGAACTATGTGTTACTTTAAACATGGTTTAAGAATTGTTTGTCTTATAGAAAGTAAAATCAGGGCCTAGATTTTTGTGCACAATTTATCTTTGTGGTTCCAGAACCAATAGATTTGAATTGAGATGGTATCCTGGGTAAGGGATTATTAAGGAGTGGGATTAAGAAGAGAATTACTCAATTTCTAAATCCTGGTGAGTCTAGCCCAGCTGAATTGAAGGTTTTTCCTAGCCATCTGGACTGTTTTTTTTTACTTCCTCTACTCGTTAAAATATTAAGTTAACCTGAAAGAACTATTGTCACATTATTTCGAATTTACAGTGGCAAAAATAGTACAAAGAATTCCTGTATAAGCACCACCCAGATTCCATATCTGGTCACATTTTTTTAAACCACATTTGCTTCTCTTTCTCTCTCTGAATAAACACAATAATATTGTTACATTTTTATGCAGACACAATGATGCTCTTTTACCACATCAGGGTGTATTTATTTCCTCAAAGCAGAGATGTCTTCTTCCATAACCACAAAGCAGAGAATAAAATAATGAAATTATCACTGATAAAGCACTATTAAATAACCGACATGCCCTACTCAGATTTCATTCATTGTCTCAATCAGATCAGCAAAATAAAATCCCAGATTGCTTGCTTGTTTTGTCTCTTGAGTCTCTTTTATTGGGAAACAGTTCCTCAGCCTCCTTTGACTTTTATGATTACAGATTAAAGAAAAAAAAAACAACAGGTCAGCTATTTTATTCAGTGTCTTTCCATTTGAGTTTGTGCCCTAATTTCATATTTTTGCCAGTAATATCACTGCATCATATTGTGTTCTTCTTGCCTCAGGAGGTACACAATGTGTCCAACATGGTGATGTTGACTGTGACCTCTTGGGTCAGCTGATGCCTACCAGGTTTTTCCACTGTGAAGATATTATTGTCTCTCTTTCATCCCCCCACTGATTTCTACATTGCCAAACTAAAAAAACTGTAGTCATACACATGTGTAAACTTGACCATTGTAAGCAGATGCTAGTTCTATGGGATTAATGACACTCACATTGTTGTGCAGTCACACCACCATCCATCCACAGAATGTCTCTATACCTATTAAAGTGTTTTGAAATGGTAGGTGAAATCTTCCTCCCTTAGTTCATCTACAACTGTTTCTTGTTATTGCCCATAGGAAACCCAGAAGGACTCTTCTCTCTGATTGATATGGAGGTAAATTGAAGATCATTCTTATGATCTTCCTCCAGTTGCAATTTTCTCTGTTCCAAGGGAAAGAACATGAAGACCTGGCAGGTGTTTGTCAGTAACAAAGATAATAAAATCCTCAGAAACCTGTCCATAGTGGACAGGACAGAGAAACAGGAGAAGGTATCTTGAACCTTTACCATGCCAGATTCAGCCAATATTGTGCTGGTTTTGTTTAAATCCAAAGCCTTCTCTCATTTTAAGTTAGATCTGTTCCCTCCCCCACCCCCAATACAGTGTGAAATTTACTGGAAATAAGCCCATCAGCTACCATTAATTTACTGTCAATATGATTATGACTGCTCTACATACTTTATGGAAATGGAATCCCACATTATTTCTCTTTTTATGAATGTGTGTTTTTCACCTACCATAATATCCTTCAATTTCACCTGGGAAATGATCACTGGTAAGACAGGATTAACTAATCTTCAGATCTTACTCAGATGTTCACTGAGCAGCAACATGTCAGAATATCCTTGCTTGAAAAGAAAGAACACACACTTGTATTGGATGTATACACTGCATTTTGTTCCTCTGTTATGGTACCCACATTAACCTCACCTCTTGCCTATTCTAAATGATGCTGCGGCAGAACACAGATGTATAAACATTTCTTTGAGACTGATTTCCCTTTCTTTCTTTCTTTCTCCCCTCCTTTTCCTCCCCTCCCCTCCCTCTTCCTTTCTTTCCTCTTTCTCTTTCTTTCTCCTTCCTTCCCTTCCTCCCTTCCTTCCCCCTTCTTTCTTTCCTTCCTTCCTTCCTTTCTCTCTTTCTCCCTCCATCTTTCTTCTTCCCTTCCTTCCTTTCTCCTTCCTCCTTCCTTCCTTCCTTCCTTCCTTCCTTCCTTCCTTCCTTCCTTCCTTCCTTCCTTCCTTCCTTCCTTCCTTCCTTCCTTCCTTCCTTTCTCCCTCCAGTTCTGGGGCTTGAACCTTGGGGCCTGGTCACTCTCTCTGAGCTTCTTTTGCTAAAGGCTAGCACTCTACCACTTGAGCCACAGCGCCACTTCTGGCTTTTTCTGTTTATGTGATACTGAGGAATGGAACCCAGGGCTTCATGCATGCTAGGCAAGTACTCTATCACTAAGCCACATTTCCAGCCAAAGGAAGTTTATTTATTTATTAATTTATTTTGCCAGTCCTCAGGCTTGAACTCAGGGCCTTGGCACTGTCCCTGAGCTTCTTTTGCTCAAGGCTAGCACTCTACCACTTGAGCCACGGCACCACTTTCTGCCTTTTCTGTTTATGTAGTACTGAGGAATAGAACCTAGGGCTTGGTTTATGCTAAGCAAGCACTTTACCACTAAGCCACATTCCCAGCCTGAGACTGATTTCTGTCTTTTTTGGGCTTATACCCAGAAACGAAATTGTGGAAACGTTATGTTCTCCTTTTTACCAAGTATTTTAGGGGAGAGCACTTTGTAAGATTATGTAAATATTCTACTCTTCTCCTTATGCTAGTTTAAATATCCATTACTTCATATCGTCTACTAATTGGCAAGTGCGAGCTTTCTAGTATCATCCTTCTGCATTTATTAGCTGGCATCATACTGTAGGGGAAAGATTTCCTTCCCGTCTTTTATTTACAAATGTGCACTAATTTTATTCAATGGGTGATAATTCTTCATTCCAGGGATGCTTTATTACTCTGAGCAGTTCTTTTCCATGCCACTCCAACAGGAAGTGGTTATTTCTTTTTTGGTCATCACAAAACAAATAGAGATTGCTGCCCGACTTGCCCAGATAAAGAAAGCGCTTTCCCAATACTCAGAGCGCAAACGCTCGCGCCAAAACTACATTTCCCAGAGGTCCCTAGGAACTACGTCATTAAAGAGCGCGGCGCGCCGCTCGGGAGAGCGGCTGGGGAGAGCCGGCAGTTGGCGGCAGCAATATGGCGGACGTACTGAGTGTCGGCGTGAACCTGGAGGCCTTTGCCCAGGCTATCAATGCTATCCAGGCGTTGCGTTCCAGCGTGAGCAGAGTGTTCGACTGCCTGAAGGACGGCATGAGGAACAAGGAGACTCTAGAGGGCCGGGAGAAGGCCTTCATTGCGCAATTCCAGGACAACCTGCATTCGGTCAACCGGGACCTCAAGTAGGTACCGGCTAAAGGGGCCGGGTTCGAGGACCTGCCTGTCGCTCCTTGCCTCGACTCGGGCCAGTCTTCCCGGCCAGGGGCTGGTCTCCATCTTTCCTCGTCCCCCACCGGCTTTCCGGCCTCTCCAGGGTCCCACTGGCCTCGTCGGGAGCACGCATCCCCGTCCCCGCCTTCTCCCCTCCGTTTCCCGGCCTCGTTCCGTCTGGCCTTCACCACCCTCGGGCCTCGTCCTCGCTGGCCTTCGCCATTCTTGGCGAGGAGGCCGGCCCCTCCCTCGACGTCGTCGCCTTGGAGCTTAGCAGGTCTGTCACCTGTAGGCCCGCTGTGCCCCGCCGCGTCTGCTCAGACCACCTCCTGCCCTAGTGGGAGAGGCCAGCCGCCGCCCCCACCCTGGAATTCATCTGCGCGCCCTCACCTCTCTCCCAGACACAACCAAATAGGTCCTTGTCTCCCACCCCCTTCAAAGTTACCTGCTCAGAACTATCATTTCGCTCAGTTTTTCCTCACTAGAGACCCAATTGCTAAGTTGTTAACTAGTCTCACAACTTAGGCCCATCTCCACCCTCAACCCCAACAATTCTTCTTTTTTTTTTTGGTCAGTCATGGATCTTGAACTCGGCCTGAGCGCTGTCCCTCAGCTCTTCAGCTCAAGGCCAGTGCTCTACCGATTGAACCAGAGCACTACTTCCGGTTTTCTGGTGGTTTGTTGGAGATAAAAGTCTCATGGACTTTCCTACCCGGGCTGGCTTTGAACTGTGATCTTCGCCTCCGGAATAGCTAGGATTATAGGTGTGAGCCATCGGCGCCTGGCTCCCAACAGTTCTTAATTTGTAGTCCTTTAGGGTTAAAGATTGTATATTTCCTTCTTTCTTACAACTCATCTTCTTTTACTTGGTAAGTATTGTAAGCATTAAATGAGCCTGGTGTCAGTGGCTCACACCTGTAATCCTAGCTACTTAGGAGGCTGAGATCTGAGGATTGCAGTTTAAAGCCAGCCAGTTCAGGAATGCCTATGAGACTTTACCTCCAGTAACCACCAAAAGCCAGAATTGGAGCTGTAGCTCAAGTGATAGAGCATTAGCCTTGAGCATGAAAGCTCAGGGACAGCACCCAGGCTCTGAGTTCAAGCCCAGGACCGCACCAAAAAAAAAAAAAGGATTAAATGAGAAGGTTGTTGAATGCCTAGCACATAGTAGGCACTGTGTGATTTCATGGTCCTGAACTTGGCCTGCTCTTCCTTAAGACAGTCAGGTCTCTCCAGGAAGGTTAGAATGCCAAGATTTTTTTTAAAAAAAAATCATCTCAGAAGTGGCCTTGGTAGCTTGTCATTCTCTGATGGACTGGTTGGATCCCTGCCTCCTCTTAGCAGTGCTGAGGTTTGAACCCAGGGCCTTGGACATGCCAAGCAAGTGCTCCACTGCTGAGCTATATTTCAACTTTATTTTTCTTAAGTAAAAAAAAAAATCTTGGTCTTCTTAGTAACCAGGTAATGAGAGGAGTAACCAGAGGAGTTAGGATGGAGGAGATCATAGCCAAATGATGGATTTCCCCTCCCCCTCTAGTTGTTGAGACTCCCACACCTCTTCTCAATTCTTACATCTTTTGATGCTTTTGGGTGAGTGCCCAGAGACAGGCAGCAGTCACCTGGTTGAAGGGATGCACGGGTGGTCGTTCCTTTTCCATTTTCTCTCTCATTTCTCTTCCTAGTGTTCAAGCTGTTGAAACTCTTCACACTTCACAAACTCAGTGTGTCAATATGATTGCTTTGGCTTTCTGTTTTTTGTGCTACTACTAGGTTTTGAACTTAGGGCCTGGTTGCTGTCTTTTAGCTTTTTTGCTCAAAGCTGGCAGTCTTATCACTATGAGCCATAGTTCTATTTCTGGCTTAAAAAAATTTTTTTATTGGTGAATTGGAGGTAAGTCTCTCACAGTCTTTCCTTCCAGGCTTGCTTTGTACCGGGATCCTTAGATCTCAGCCTTCTGAGTAGCTAGGATTACAGCATGAGCCACTGGCTCTCAGCACTCTTTGGCTCCTTAAATCTTTGAACAGTGGTGCCAGGGAGAAGGTGGCTGAAGATTCTGGAATGAATGTAGCATGAGAAGCTGTTCGCAGTCTTGTGCTGGCAGTTGGGGGACTGGCCCCTCAGCATACACTCCCGGAATGTGCTTTTGCTGTTGGCTCACTTTCCTCAGCTTCTCCAGAGTTTTCCTGCTAGACTGAAGCCTGTTTGTTTGACACAGCCCCCTCGGTGGTGTCTTCCCATTCCATTTGTTTATTTTATCTCTTCTTTGTTTTGCTAAGTTTTACCATCTGTGAAGCATCATGTACAAATCTAGCCCTATGTGAATGATAAATAATCATTTATTCAGGTACTTGCTGTTCTGCCAAATGTAGTGATCTGCACGTGGGTCTGAAAGCCCTTAGTGAGAGGCAGTGTTACACCATATTGCAAAAATCCCAGAAAGTTTCCACCCCCTACAGAGACTAATCCAAGTTGTTAAATACTGGTTTTAGGAGCCTTACTGCTTCTGCACTCCTTTTCTCTCCTTCTGAACAGCATCAGGGATCAGGTTCTGTCTAAAGAAAGATGGTTTCCCAACCAGGGGTTTTCTTGGTTGTCTCTAATCTTTTTTACTTTCCAAAAAGTATTTTCTGTTTACGGGATATCTGATGGCATCTAGCCTTTGACCAATGTGGTTGGCTTTGCTAGAGTTTTAAGTTCACTAAAGTTTATTTGCCTTCTTTCTTTTCAGTGAGCTAGAACGTCTGAGCAACTTGGTCGGCAAGCCCTCTGAGAATCACCCTCTTCATAACAGCGGTCTGTTGAGCCTGGATCCTGTGCAGGACAAAACTCCACTCTATAGTCAACTCCTGCAGGCCTACAAATGGTCCAACAAGGTAAGGGAGCCGTCACATGGAGGTAAGAGGGCAGAGGCTCTTCCATATTTAGAAGATGAGGATAAGCATTTAGTTTTTAGTTTAGATTTGGCATGGGGTTATAGAGCTGTAAGTTCTAGAATTTCCCTTTATGTTATTTTTATAGTTCTTTAAGTTCTTTGAGGATTAGTAATTATTCTAGGTAATTAGATTTAAAAAGAATTGTAAGCCGGGCTCTGGTGGGTCACACCTTTAATCCTTGGGCAAGAAAGTCCATGAGACCCATATGTCCAGTAAACTACCAAAAAAGCCAGAAGTAGAGCTGTGGCTCAAGTAGGAGAACACTAGGTCAGGGACACTGCCCAGGCCCTGAGTTCAAACCCCAGAACTGGAAAAAAAAAAAAAAGAATTCTAAGTCAGGGTTTATTGCACTTGAACCTGATCTAGGTGGGGTGCAGGGAGCAGTATGTTGTGGTATGTGCACTTTTGCCAGGGCAAAGTGACCTCATCGGACTCAGAGCAGTTCATGATGCCTAGGAGGTTAAAAGCTGATAGTCTGAGTGTTCAGCCATTCACATTGTTTGTTCTTGTATTGTCTCTTCCCTGCTATTGGTGGAAGTGTCACTATGGTGCTTTCTGTTAGATTAGTCCTTATTGCTTTGTACCTATTAGGCAGGGGCAGTACTGAGGAACTACAGGCCCAGCAGGGAGAGTGCTCTCAATGTGCTCTATAGAATTTGGCATTCATGGCTTCCGCCAGTAGGCAGGCCTGTGGCATAGACCTTAACACAGTGATGGAAGGAAACTAAATGGTAGTTACAAGAAACAGGAACATTTAGACTCAAGCCTGGAATGAGTACCTTTCATTTGTCTGCTATGTGTTCTGTGCTGTATATATTCATTTTCTTTTCTTTCTTTTTTTGTCGTGGGGCTTGAACTCAGGGCTTAGGCACTTTTCTTGAGCTTTTTCATTCAAGACTAGTGCTCTACCACTTTGAGCCACAGCTCCATTTCAGTTTTCTGGTGGTTTATTGGAGATAAGAGTCTCATGGATTCTCCTGCCTGGGCTGAGGCTGCCTGCCTCCTGAGTAGCTAGGATTACAGGCATGAGCCTATAATGGTTCTGTATTTTCATACTGAAGGGAACTAGAACATACTTTAGACACACTTTTGAAAGCATTTACCAGTGGACGCTGCTACTTCCCTAGAGATACTGTTCTTGCTGTTACTGACTGTCTTCTATTCTGTTGCCTCCAGCCATCCTCTTGTTTCTGCTCCTTTACCCCTTAGGTTTTAGATGCTGAATGAGCCTTGACCATATTTCTGGTATGCAGATTTTTTTCTTTGACTTTCTCTGTGGAGGGTATTTTGTCAGGCTTGGAGTTGAAGTAGAGTCTCAGAGCTGAATCTGAGACTCAGAGAAGATGGAGATTTGTCACTGGGTCTGAAAGAAAGAACTTAAACCTTGCATTCGTACATTTAGCCTGTAAGGCCTTTTCCCCAATTTCTGGGCTACTGGTTACAGAAACTCAGTTTGGTCTAGATTAAGCAAAAAGTAAAATACAAAAATAAAAAAAAATGTGGGCTGGGAATGTGGCTTAGTGTTAGAGTGCTTGCCTAGCACTCACAAAGCCATGGGTTCAATTTTTCAGCACCACATAAACAGGAAAAGTTGGAAGTGGTGCTGTGGCTGGTAGAGTGCTAGCCCTGAGCAGAAAGAAGCTCAGGGACAGTTCTCAGACCCTGAGTTCAAGTCCCATGACTGGCAAAAAATGCTAAAGGCTGGGTGTTGGGGTTAAGGAATTTGAACTCAGGACCTCTTGCTGCTGGACTTGCTCAGCTTGTTTTGCTGGTGCTCTTCTGCTTCAGCTATGCCTTTAGTCTGGTCTTTTCTAGTCACTTGGGAATGGAGTCCTGCAAACTTTTCTGCCCAGCCTTGCTTTAACCATCATCCTTCAGATCTTAGCCTCCTGAGTAGCTGCAATTATAGATGTGAGCCACAGACACGTGTCTCACTTTCTTTTTCTTTTTCTTTGGTGTTTAGACAAGGAAATCATGTGCTTGTCACATGGATAAAATTGTTCTTGAAACAAACTACAGTTACAAGTGACTGCTTTTTAGGTGGGAAGATTCAGGCTGATTTCAGAACCATGAGTGACGAGGACTCTTAAGGGAAGTGTGTGGTCTGACAGTGGAGTGAATGACATTTGAATGGAACTAGTTTAATTGCTCACTGAATTTAATTGTTCAACTATTAAAGTAGAAGGCCTAGGCTCCAAGATAGGAAAGAAATTGTATTAAGGAAAAGAACTGGTATGTGTATGAAACTTGTTTTTGCTTTGGAGATGCTACAGCTTGAAGATAGGTGCCAGAAATCGATCACTGATTATAAATCCCATAAGCCAGAGTGAGGAGATGGCAGGTTTTAGGCATCACTGTGTTCTCTGACTGGTTGCCTTATGCCACTAGCAGAAGAGACTCCACCTCCTGTGCTAGAGCCAAACAAACAGGCCCAGGGAACTGAGCTCTTTGTTCGTATCTTTTCAGTTCTAAAGCCAGGAAGCCACTGCCAGTTACACAGAGAGGAATGTAGGGAAAGTATGTTTGTATTTTTTGTTACAGTGGGTAATGTCCTGTGTGACTCTTGTTTTTTACCTTACCTTACTGTGGGAAGGATTTAAGGTCGATTATAATGATTCTTAAAATCCAGAGAGGAAAGAAGAAAATCAGGGTTAGGATGTAGATACCAGTATCTCGCACTTGTAACCCTAGCTACTCAGGGGCTGAGATCTGAGGATTGTAGTTTGAAGCCAGCCCAGGCAGAAAAGTATATTATTTCCAATTTTAAAAAGCTAAGCTAAGCATAGCAAAAATCAAAACAAAAAAACACACACAAAAAACAAAAACACAAAAGCAAAAAACAAAAACCTAAGCAAGAGCATAAGGCCTTGAGTTCAAACACTAGCACCAGCTCACAAAAAAGATTGCCCTCCGCCAGGTGCCGGTGGCTCATGCCTGTAATCCTAGCTACTCAGGAGGCTGAGATCTGAGGATCGCTGTTCAAAGCCAGCCTGGGCAGGAAAGTCCATGAGACTTTTATCTCCAATAAACCACTAGAAAACTGGAAGTGGCCCTGTGGCTCAAGCAGTAAAGCGCTCACCTTGAGCTGAAGAGCTCAGGGACAGAGTTCAAGCCCCACGACCAACCAAAAAAAAAGAGTGCCCTCTATATATTTCTTTAATAAAACTCAAGAGCAGCTTTGAGAAGTAATAAGCCAGTATTACAATTTCCAGCTGGCAGTGTGGACAAAGCAAGCCATTAATTGTGCCCGTTTACTTCTCCTGCAAATGAAGAGAGCCTTTTAATTGTGGTGCTCTCACCATTCATCATTTCACCCTGAGAGTTTAAACCGGCAAGTGCATTAATATGTGAAGTGAAGTTTGGGGTAACTTGCCAATGTCAGCTTTCCACACTATTGGCTAAGAATGGAGAAGTGTGGGGAGTGCTTCACCACTGCCCATTATGTGTTGAACTTTCCATGCAATGTGCTGTTGGCCGTAGGAAAGTCTTGGACATGCTAATGACTAATTACTGTCTTGAGGGGATTTTTGCAATTTTTGTAAAGTCAGTTGGAATATTAATTACATGGTAGTTGGTATAATTGGTAGAATTACACATTTGAAAATTAATCTAATTTAATGAAATGATGTCAAATTGCTGTGAGCAGCGCTTTTCCTGTGCTAATCTGGAGAAAGAATTGAGCTTTTAACTATTTTGCACCTATAGATAATTGTTCTGTGGAAGAATGGCAGGCCTTCTTGATGAGGGCAAAAATAATTGGCATCAACGCTGTCCTTCTGTGAAATGTTGCAGACTTTGTCACTTGTCATGTTCTCACATGCTGTGAGCTAGACCGAATTCATCCTGAAGGTCCCTTTAGAAGGTTCCAGCGTCCTGTCACCAGGCTTTCATTTCCGCCTTTGACTCTCTTCATTTGTGGCAGAAGGCTACTTTGTGTGAAGTTATCCCTCAGTTCCCCTGGAGGACTGGTTCCTGGAGCCCTCAGTCCTGTAGGAATCCAAATGGTGCAGTATTTGCATGTACGCACATACCACCCCTCCCAGCCTTTCATTTTGAGATAGTGTCTCATTGTGTTGTCTAGGCTGCTCTCCAACTTGTGAGCCTCAGTGATCCTTCCATCTTAGTCTCCTATGTAGCTGAGACTACAGGCATACTGTTTTGCTCAGTTCTCCTCCTCTATACTTTTTAAGTCTCTAGATAACTTAACAATACCTAATACAATCAAAACACTATATAAGTAGTTTGTTGTACAAAATGTTATTTAGGGTACAAGGAAAAATCTGTGTTGAGTGTGGATACTCTCTTTCCAGGCAGTGTTGTTGAATTTTTGTGGATGTTCACGCCGCAGATATGGAGGGCTGACTGGAGAAGCAGACTAGAATTTTTTTTTTTTGTCTGTTGTGGTGCTTGAATTCTGGGCCTGGGCGCCATCCCTAGCTCTTCAGCTCAAGGCAAGCATTTTACCACTTGAGCAACAGTGCCACTTTGTTGGTTTTCTGGTGGTTAATTGGAGATAAGAATCTCATTGACTTTGCTTTGAACTGTGATTCTCAGATCTTAGCTTCCTGAGGAGCTAGGATTACAGGCGTGAGCCACCTGTGCCTGCCAAGGACTTTCTTTCCTTGGGGATGTTGGAGGAATTGCAGACTCCAGAGGGTCTTTCCATTGGAGTAGAGCAGATGTTGCTGCTTTTTTTTTTTAAAGACATGTTTAGGACTGGAGGCATGGCTCAAGGGGTAGAGCACCAGCTGTGAGTAGAAAGGCTGAGGATGAGGCACTGAGCTCAAGCTCTTACTACTGGCAAAACAACCAAACCAAAGTTAAATTTTTTAAAAAGCAAGGTTTTATTCCAATAATACTTGAAGAGTGAAGACATTTTCTCGATTCTCATCTGGTCACTGCATGGCATTTGTCTGCCATGTTCATCTTTGAAGGTGCCT